GGGTGGTGTCGGACCTGATGGTGCGGCTGCGGGATGAGCGGAGCCGCAGCCCCTCGGGGGTGCTGGTGGGCGACATGGCCAACCTGCTCTACCGCTTCGCCCTGGAAGGTAGGGGGTCCTCACCCTCACCCCTGCCATGTCCTGCTCGTCCCATCCCTGCGAGGGTCTGGATGCAGCCTGTCCCCCACAGGGATCTCCTACATCCTCTTCGAGACCCGCATTGGGTGCCTGAAGCGGCAAGTCCCTGCCGAGACCCAGCACTTCATCAACTCCATCAACCTCATGTTCAAGAACTCCATCTTCGCCACCGTCCTGCCCCGATGGACCCGGAAGGTGCTACCCTTCTGGGGCCGATACCTGGACAGCTGGGACACCATCTTCGCCTTTGGTGAGGGGTGGCGACAGGGGGCCCGGCTCGGTGGGATCAGACCCCTCTAAGGACCCCCTCAGCCAGCCCACCTGGTACAGCAGAGGCAAGCAGGGTCCCCACAGAGCTTCTTGGGCCACTGAGAGAGGCCAGGACTTGCTCCCCTTTCCACAGCCTTGGGTTTGCACCTCCACGCAAGTTGGCAGGGGCGATGCCATCTGTGCAGCCATGTCTTTAGCAGGAGCTGGGACCCCCTGGCCCCTCGCCTTCGCCACCTCTCACTCCGTCAGCGCTGGGTCCCGCTGTCCCTGTCCCTGCAGGCAAGACCCTGATTGATCGTAAGATGGAGGAGCTGGAGGGGCAGGTGGAGCGGGGCAAAGAGGTGTCGGGCTACCTGAGCTACCTGCTGGCCAGCGGCCGGCTGAGCCTGGAGGAGGTCTACGGCAGCGTGGCTGAGCTGCTGCTGGCCGGCGTGGACACGGTAAGAGCAGGGCAGCTGCCACTGGGGAATCTCCACTGAGCTCTGCCCTGGGGCACCAGTCCCTTCACTCAGGCTGTAAACTTTGGGTTGGTGGTTTGGGTGGCCCCACGGAGGAAAACCCTAGGGGATCGGTTGGTACAGACCCTCGTTGTCCTCCCTGCTCTGCCACTGCCTTTCTCTGAGCCTCAGTTTCCCCCGTGCTTGCTGGCCCTTGCCTCTGGTTTCCCCGTGCACTGGAGCAGGGGCTGTCCATCGCCGTATCGGTGCAGCGCTTGGCACGAGCAGGCTCCAGTGCCAACCCCGTGTCCCTCACTCCCCTTCGCGCTCTGCTCCCCCAGACCTCCAACACGCTGTCCTTGGGCCTTGTACCTCCTCTCCCGGGACCCGTGCATCCAGGAGGCCCTGTACCAGGAGCTGACGGCCATCGTGCCCCCTGACCGGGTCCCGGGTGCTGAGGATATCCCCAAGATGCCGCTGCTTCGTGCTGTTATCAAGGAGACGCTGAGGTACAGCCCAGCCTTGGCCCTGGCCCGAGGGCCCCTATCGCTGCCCTGTTTCCAGGGCCCCATGGCAGCCCCATCCCTCCCTGCTCGGGGGTCTGAGACCAGGGAGCACCAGCTGGGGTGGCAGGTCGGGGTCCTGGGGGCTGGGGCATGGGATATCTCCCAGGCAGGGTGTGTGGCTGGATGTGCTGGATTTGGAGGCCCGGCTGGGACCAGCTCCCGCGCTAACTCTCCCTGTCTCCTGGCCCAGGATCTACCCCGTGGTCCCCACCAATGCCAGGGTCTTTTGGGAGAAGGACATTGTCATCGGAGACTACCTCTTCCCCAAGAACGTGAGTGGGGCTGTGCAGTGGGGACCCCTGTTGCACTCGGAGGGGACGGGCAGGGGTCATTAACACCCCCCTCCCCATTCCCGCAGACCCTCTTTGTCCTGGCGCACTATGCCATGTCCCATGACGAGACCCA